ATCATTCCCGGGTGACATTTTATTGTCGTCCTTCGCGCGCTCTCTCTCTCTCTCTCTCGCTCTTGGCAAAGTCCAAAGGGTGTATATATCCATCGAACTGTCGAATCGATACGGCCATAAATATATCTCCCTTAGCCAGGGTATCATACGCTTCGATCCAGCGCTCTTTCATTCTTTGGTTTGGTTTTTTCGTGGATGTGAGCTTTTACGCTATTATTTGATTTTTATTCGGGGCTCTCCTCCCCGCTCTCCCCTTTTCGCTCTGCTGTTGCCGCATTTCATGAGTTATTGTCTCTCGTGGACTGCGGCTTCAATGCGAACTAGGCCACTGATTGGTGATGAGGAGAGAGATGGAGAGGGAGCGGAGGGGAGGGGTAGAGAGGGTGGGGGGTACCCAGCCAAGCTGTCGCTGGCCTTTTTGGCAACAGTGCCTGGCCCCACCCGTTCTAGCGTCATTTTTGTCCCCCCCTTGCCCCCTGCCCGGACTTCTGCGGCGTCTCCTGAGGACGAAAGAGCGGAGCGGAAATGTTTGACTCCCTTTCACTCATACTCACAGAGGGATACACAGGCAGAGAAAAAAGCACTGACTTTCCTCCGAGAGTGGAAATTATAAAAACGAAAATGTTTTCACAAATTTCATATTTAAATTAAAAACATATGTAAGTACATAAAGTACATTATACTACATTATATTTATTTAACAGTGTTTCTTATATTTATTTGTATCTATTATTATTTATATTTGTTTTTTTATTATTTATATTTATTTATTTATTTTTTAAAATTTATATTATATGTATTAATTGTTTATTATTTATATTATATTGATTTATTTTTTTATTATTTATATTTATTAATTTATATATTATTTATATACTTATATACTATTTTTGTGCCCCGAATTCCGAATGACTACACGTTTTTTTCTCTGAGTGTACATTTGTATGGTTGTATGGGGATGTGTCGCTTCTGGTCAGGATATGCTTGAGGCTAGTGCGTTTCCTTAATGCGACAATGTTTGCTCAATGTCACAGTCTCTCGCTCTCGCTCTCTCTCTCTCTCTCTTGGAGTCTGTGCGACTTCCGTTTGTCGCAGAGCACTTCAAATTGTAAGATACATATATATGTATGTATATATATATCTATCCATTCGGTATATTTACCGCCTAAAGCCACTTGACATTGACAGTTATGACACGTGCTCGAAGGCTCGAAGAAAACTTTTGACTTGCGTCTCGAGGCGATTCCCGGAAATCCTCATTAAAAGCTCCACTGAAGCGCAGTCTCGCCGGAGCTCCAGCTTCTTCTTGCATGAAAATGCACTGAAAATTCCACATGAGACATAATTAAATTGAGAAATAAATTCATAGTTTGATTACAGTTCAAACACTTGCCAATTAAAGGAATTTCCGGACGTCGGTGGCTGACAAGCAGACAGCATTTTAAATAAATATTTGTCAAAAGTAGAACAGGAGCGACAACCAGTGCAGATAGAAGCAGTGGATACCCTGCAGATTGTGCGAAGAGAAGGCTTCCAGAAGGAAGGAAATGAAGTCTCAAGTATTTCAAGAAGAAGCCCGAGTGATGGATAGCACTGCGGAGAGGCGCAAGATGAAGATGTATCAAGGATGCATCCACTCGCAGACTCCCACTTGTCAGACGGAGTGATACGATCTCCAACGAATACAAGCAATCATTTTAGAGGACATTTTGCGGGAATGGAAGACTCTAGGGGACTCTTAAAGGATCATATGTTGGCACATCTCACAGGAGATACGGCCGTTCAAGTGCCAGCATGCAGTCGCATACCCTTTGGGTGTCCCCCTCCTTGTGTCTCTGTTGCAAGGGCAACAGCAGAAACATCTAACTTTTATTTACATTTTCATCTCCCCCTCCCCCCCTCTGTGCTCAGCCACCTCTACGGAATGGAATGGAATGGAGTGGAATGGAATTTCTCTTTGAGCAGCAAATGCTGTTTTCTTCTGAGTGTGCTGCAAGTGTGGCCATGTTGCATGTGTAGTTAAGATGCTTTGGCTTAACCTTTGACTGCACGAAAAGTATTCCGACAATTTTGTGTGTGAATTACCCCCTCCACCGCCAACCCCTTCCAGCCGACAAAGTGAAAGGTTCAGTTTGATAATCAAGCGCAAGAATTGAGGTAAACTAGGGTACATCTCTCCATCTATGCACATGTGTGGGTGTATTCCAAGATGGCAGCAAACCAACATCCGGTTAAGAGGCAGAACAGAGCTGGCTGGAAGCTGGAGGCAGTGGCAGAATGCGAGCAAGTGCCAGTAGTACAAATGTAATGGCAAATTTTTGAAATTAGTATGCAACACGCATCTCAGTGGCAGGAATGGCCCTCTCTCTCTCTGCCCCTTTTTCCCTCTCTTTTTAACGCTCTTTAGCCGTCTCGCCCGCCCTCTCTCTGGCCTCACTTTTATGTGCTTTTGCGTGTGCATGTGTCTGTGGAGGGGTTTATACCAATAAGCGGCACATTTAAGCTGCTTGTTGGTTTGGTTTTAAGTAATTTTTATAGCCATTCTTTGGCCCTCTTTTTTGTGACCATTTGCCATTGAGTTTATACGATGAAAATGGGGGAATACGAAGAGAATTAGTAGAAAAAAAGTACAGTCACACACAAAAACATCACGACTGTAGAGGAATGTATAAAGATCTTTGATTTGAAGCCCCACTAAAAATAAACTAATTCTAACTTTACCGTGTTTTCCTTTACGATTATCTCATATAAGAAAGATGATTCATGATTATTGCTTTTCTGGGGGGCGGTTCGAGACGCTGGTATCCGGCGAGGATAGGGGTGGAGGGGTTCTTCATGCATAGCAGGGGTGGAATCGTAGCTGGTTCTAGCCTACACGCCAAGAAAACGGGGAGCGCCATGCAGATCGTAAGAGCGCTCCGAACCAAGACAGCGAGAGCGAGACAGACGGCGACGTAACAGGCTGTTAACAGAGCGCGGTACACAGCAGCGATAACTGGCTGTTAACCCAGCAGCGATAACAGGCTGTTAGCCTGGGGTGCTAACAGCGCTGTTGCCGTGTTACAGCTAATATCCTGAACATCCTATCCTATGAGAAAGGGTAGCTAGCGGTATTAAAACCCCAACCGTCTATCCATAGATTTTTTAAATGGATGCCCTAAACGGCGCCTAATTAATGTATCTATACAAATATTTTTTATTCTTTCTTTTTCGCAAAAAAGATACATTTTGAGTTTGAAAACCTTAAAGTTCCCAGACGGAAGCTGGAGCTACAAAGTGTTTGGATAGGATTTATAGCTGCATTTATCGGCTTTTCATAAAAGCAAATTTCAACAAACTCCTTCTCGGGATTGTTGACTCCCAAACTCCCTTGACTTTGCCGTTCCATCTATACCCACCCGTACTTTTAGGCCCATCCGCTTATCCTTATGTGGATAGGTATAATTATGCACTCATGAACCTTTTAGGGTTATGTGCCACAACTAAAACTCCCTCTGTCATACCTTATCCCCTGCACTATCCCTTAAGCTAATAGCTAACAAAGTCTTAACTTCTCTTCTTTCCTCCTTTCCTTCTTTTGTAACTAAGTTCCATTATTAGCAGATAATTGTTTAATAAATAAATCAAATACAACCAATCATACGAAGCCTCTCTATCTATATCTATATCTATATCTATATCTATATCTATATCGAGCTGATCTCGAGCTCGCTAGCTTTACGCTTACCATAGACAATAAATCATAAATATATCATTCACAAATTCTGAGCCCCAAATCTATCAGAAAAACTCGCATAGTATTATTATAATGGGGCTAAGGCTCATCAAGGGTTCAAAGTTAGCCCTTTTTCAATATTTTTTTTCCATTTCTGATTAATAGCACTGGAACGGCAATTTGGTTCTGTATTTTTCGGTATTAATGCAGGTACGATTTTTTTGGTAGGTTTTTCTGCATAGATTTGTGATTTTGTGTGTTTTCTGCAAAGATTTGTGATCTATTCGCTCTTTTTTCGAATTAATTTTTGGTTTTATTATTTCGGTATTAATACAAATAAGACTTTTGTGTGGTATTTTTAAAGTATTTTCTAGTATGTTTTCTGTAAAGCAACGCTTTCTTCTGTCAGCAAGTTTTAAACTAGAAATAAAATAAGTAGAATCCCTCCAAAAGGGAGAGAACCGCCAAGAGATAATGTAGAATCATTCACAGAAGGATTTCCCCTGCCATTGGCACAAGTTTTTTGCTTCTCTAGTGGTTTTTCCTTTTGTGTGGTTCTTTTTTTGTATTTTGTTTTTTGTTTGGCTGGCATTTTCGGAGGGGGGTCTATCTGGGAAGAGGCGCCGCCGCTGACCCTTCCAACGCTTTTCAGTTTCCGCTCACTTAGATTCATTAAAACAACTGGCAAAAATTGTCATGACCTGTGTGCTAGTGCAGGGGATAAATGGGGAGAAGGATCAAAGACCGGAGGAGCCGTACAAATGGGGCTAAAGAAAGCTCTGCTGTGGCAGGGGAAGACTCTTCTTAAGCTGTGTCCAACCCCAGGACTCCGCCAGCAAAAAGAACAAAACTTTGGAGTTTCAAACTATTTTTGTATGCTTTTCTTTTATATTTTTCATCCACCACCCCAGCCCTAGATGTTGTAGTATTTGTGTGCAAGTATTTTATATCAATTTTTAGTGTTTTTTTGTTTTTCGGGACGAACTTGCATTTTGTGCTGGCGCTGGAGCTGCTGCTGCTGCTGCTGCTGCTCCCGGATTCCATCTACAGCTCCTCCTTGTCCTTGTGCAAGTTGTCGTCTAACTTATGGCATCTCGTTTATCTTCGTAACTTGAGACGGACGCCCAGGGTGCCCGGGAGTGCCCGGGAGTGCCCGGGAGTGGGACCGTGGGAGCGTGGAGTGGCGTCGAGCAGTTATTGCATTTTGTACGTTGTATTTTATTTTGTATTTTTTTCCGGTGTGTGGCTCTGACTTATTTATGACCAGTCCCAGCTCCAGTGCTCCTCAATTGGCATCCTCCTGCTCTTCTATGAACGCGCCGGGCTCATTGAGGATCGACAGGAATCCCTCGAAGTCGCCGTCGAGAGCCGCTCTCAGGGCCGCGGGCCCCAGGGACAGCGCCTCGAGGCTCCCGACGAGCTGGCACCGCTGAAATGCGGACTCAAACTCCAAGAGGGCCTCGTAGAACTGCACCGAGCGCACATGGTCGGCCACCAGGCCCATCTTCAGGGTGTCAGCCACTGCCTCGGGGACACCCGTGGCCGCGGCCTGGCTCTCGATCACTTCGCGGTCGGAGTCCATTGGCAGGCGGGCCATCAGGCGGTGCAGGCTCTCCGGCGAAAAGTCCATCAGCTCAAGGGAGCTGCTCATTTGGCGGCGCATCGTGGTGGCCAGACTTTCAGGCTGTCGCAAATCGGGATCCAAGAAGGACTCGGGCGCCTGCCCCTCGGGGACCAAAGCGTTTTTTACCAGCTCGAACATGCTGTTGCCCACTTTGCCCAGAAATCCCACGACACCCCTCGCCAGAGCGCCGAGCTTGCCAGGTGGCGGAGGAGCAGGGACATCACTGCCGCCACCGCCGCGAGGATAGTCAGGATCAAGGAGTTCGATCTTCGGAGGCTCCGGCTCTTTGGAAGCCACAATCAGCTCGTTGAAGCGCCGACAGAAGTCGTCGTCGCGTTCAGGAAACGCTTCCTGCATCCAAAAGAAGTGGCGCTCCCTGGCGCCCTCGAACCTCAGGACATACACACGCCCCGTGTTGACCTGGCTGACGCGCTGGAAGCGCGGCACACCCGGCACGGCCAGAATGTCCAGCTCGACTCGGTCCGTCCGGCGATCCTTCCAGCAGATGTGGATCTCAGTCTCCATGAGGCACACGTAGAGCAGACCCTTGCGGCTGTCCGGCTCGAACATTCCGGCTCGGAGGACCATCAGACCGGCCTTGTATTCAATCAGATTCTTCATGTTCGAAACGGTTTACTCGTAATTTTGGGATGTATCTTCTGTGCGCCCTCCGCAGTCCGCACAGACGTCCTTTTTATGGGATACAGCAGCTCTTCCTCCGACGTGCTCTCCGCGGTGCCACGACCCAACCGGCAATTGACCTTTAATTGCACACTTAAAAGTACATAAAAACGTGGCCAAGCCTGGCCACCCGAAGAAGCTCCAAGGAGCCGGACACGGCTGTCGCTGTTGATGTTCCTGCTGCCCCTGTCCCCGCTCCTGCCCCCGCTCCTGCTCCTGCTGGGACTTGTATCTGTGCGGCGGCAGGGTAGTGGGAGGCACAATTAAAATTAAAGCGTTTACTTACACGACTCAACGTGCAGCAAATGATGTTGCCTCCTTACAGCTAAGTCCAAGCACAAATGGGATTCCGATTCCGACTGTGCGACTTGAGTGATTATTTTTGACTTGTGGCTCGAGGGGCTGTTGATTCTCTACTAAAACAAAACATCACTTAGTTGAATATTTCGACAGTTTTGCAGCTGGTTTGGAGATCAAGTGCCCTTGGAACTTGGAACTTGGAACTGCCAGAATATACTAGAGGGAGACGTCCTTTCATTCATACAGGGGCTTTCCCTGAAGACATATCGACCCAAAGTTGTTTACCATTTTTAGACTATATTTTTGCTAGTTTTTAGTGGCTTTAATTCGCCATAAAAGAAGCTACTTATCGCTTAAATTGTCCAAGGAATGACAAAGGTACACATTTTTTAGAGAATTTTTTGACAAGGCCTTTGCTTAAGCCTTTCTCCAGACTCCTTTGGACCCGTGTATAATTATCTATAATTTGTATAATATAGTATTAATTATTATTAATGCAAAAAGTGCGTTGAAAAACACAATAGCTGTCGTGTGCATGATCCGACTCTAGTCTTGCCGATTTGGGGTTTCTTTTGTTTATTGATTGCCCAAAAATTCGCTTAAATTTGTTTAATTATTAATTTAATTTATTAATTCGTTTATTTTGAATCGATGAGTGCTGGTCTCGTCTCGGTACGGCATCTCGTTGATGAATTATTTAAGTGCTTAAAGAAAGATTCTAAAACCAACAACAGGACTTTATTTCTTTCCAATGAGCTGTGTGCAGCGCCCAGCGTGTGTGTGTGTGTGCTGAGAGTCCTTTCTGAGTGTTTTAATGATGGAGAAAGCCAGGAAGGCCGGCCGGCTTCTGCTGCCACGCGAAACGTTCGAAAGCAATTACAATTTAAGTATTTAATTAGGGAATTACGTGAGCAAACACACGTTCCACGTGTCGAAAGAGGAGGAGGAAAGAAAGAGGAACGGAAAGAGGAACGGAAAGGTGGAACAGCCGTCGCCAGAGGTCGAACAAATGGAGGGCGGAATGGAAGTGAATAAAAAGGAGACCACCACCAACCTCCCTCGTTCTCTATATATATATTATATAAAATGAAAATGAAAATGAAAATAAAAATAAAAAGACCGTAACGTAGTGGCCCCAATCGACTTCAACCTGAGACGATGTGTGGGGGCGTGTGTGGGCGTTTGTGGGCGTGTGTGTGTGTGCTTGGGGGACGTGGAGACACGCACACACACACCTGCTGCCGTCCCCATAAATGCCAATAAAATTGAAGCCAATTGCTGTTTCCCCAACAAAAAGAACAAGAAACATTCGAGGCAGCTACAAAACAATTTGTAGTTTACGCTTTGCGCGTTCCCCGGCTCCAGCAGAGGAGCCAAAGGATAAGCAAGTCCTGGCATCAGACTGATTTCGAGCCCCAGCCAGTAGCCAACAGAATCAGAAACTATAAAAAAGGAAACGTAGAACAGGCACAAAAAAACGATAGTCTTGGCCTTAGAGACCGAAAGATACTCCAGGATCTGCGGATTCGGTGTCTTTTATCTACTTTTTGCTCCTTCCTGGCCAAGATCTCTGGCGCCCTGAGATCAATTTTTCGCAGGGGATTCCGCCCGGGATCTCCGTCTTAGGGGATTACTGAAAACGAATTGTGAAAGGCTTCCCGGCATACCCTTTGCTACTCTCTAAGAAAACGGAAAAAAGGGAAAAAAATTACAAGCGTTATGTTGACAAATGCCGTTACTCGTGCCGCCTGCCGCCTGCCACCTGCCACCTCTTGTGGCAATTTTCCTTCATTTTCAGTTACATTTTTATGGCTACGCGTCGCATTTTCTTGGGCCACTGTTGCTTTTTCTTCATTTCTTTGCCCTCTGCTTTTGGCGGGTATCAATAAATTGGAGTCGGGCAAAGCCAGCGCCGTGGGGCAGGCAGGTATATGTACATAAAAAGCAGTGTATATACACTGTACATTGTGGGCTGGGGGCTGGGGGCTGGGGGCCGGGGGTGCGACAGTTGTAAACGAAATTATCGCCTTTTGACTTTTAGCCATCATCAGGGGAAATATTTTGCTCGTTTATTCTTCGATTTATGCTCGGGAAAAACGAGTACCAGGAGCAGGACACACATCATAGCCGGGAGTAGGATATTAATTAAGTGCCGTCGCATAAATATTATATGGGGGGGGCAAACACTCGTACAATCTGAAGATTTCCCCATGATTCATGGTGGATCTCTGCACTGGAAGATATAACGTTTTTTATGGGTCTGCAGATTGACAATTTCTTGCAAATTTCTTCATTGAAAGGAAGTTCAACGAAATGAAGGACGACCTGTACGTATAGGAGTTCCCAGAGACGACACTTGATAAGCCGATGGCAATGGCTAATCCACTCTTGTGTCATTCGAATCTAAAGAGGAAGCTAAAGGTAACCATTTGATGAGACTTTCCCTTCGCTTTTTCCATGGGAAATCTTCTCCAAATACATGTGTTTATTCTTCGAAACATCGGCTGCACTTATCCGATCATCAATAATGGAATGGCAGGCCACAATTCATTGGGCTAATGAAGATGAATATGAAATGAGTTAATTAATTGAAATTTGTTTCAATGGGGGTTCCCCGTCCCCCGTCCCCCGTGCCCCATCCCCCTTATGAGCCTTGAATGAAGAGAGTTCAATGAACCATCGTCTGTCCGTCTGTCGTCTCACATTCTCACCTTTCGTCCTGCACCTTCAGTATCTGTGTGTCTGTGTGTGTGCGTGTGTTAATGTCTACCATTTTTCGTTCCCACTGTTTCGTCATTAATTCATAAGCAGGAACTTCATTTCACTTGAGGCAGTGCTCTATCCTTTTCCTTCTTGTTGCACGACTCTTTTCGGGGGGGTGGGGGGCTGAGGAGAGGAAATTCCGTTTAGTTTGCGATGGATGGGCGTGTGCGTGTGTGTGTGCGTGTGTGTGTGTGTCAGCCAGTCAGCCAATTAAACGAGTGAGACGAGGAGTCAACTTGAAATTAACAAACACTTTTCCCCAAAGCACACACAGACACAGGGCCCCACTCGCCCCCCACTCGCCCTCGCACTCGCACTCGTCCTCGAGAGCACACACGCACGCACGCACGCAAGTTTATGAATCTGAAAAATGCGCCTCGCTGCCCTAAACTAATTTCCACCCAAACTCAAACACACACGGACACACGGACGGATGGACGGACGGACGGAACCGAGCCGAAACCAGAACCGAGACAGGCTCAAGCACGCATTCAAGCCGCAGGAGTTAGTCCTTTCTGCTGTCTCATGGAGAGCTGTTTGGGGGGCATACCGACAAAGGAGGCCACAGAACACAGAAACCACACGGCTCCTCCGGCCAGATCGACGCGGAAGATACTCTCACTCAAGAGATACGATCACTAGACAACTACCATCAAATGTATCTTCTTTATCTATATATCTCTATCTTTTGTTGTGTATAGCAATTCAAAACTAAAAATAAATTAATTAAATAAATAAACGGGTTCTTCCTTTTATTCTAGCATTATCTTTATCTTTCATCTGCATATTTATCTAAAACTTTCTTCTACGTATCTTAATCGCTCTTCTAGTCAGTCTTCAAATAGTTCTTTATCATAACCCGTGGTTTTAATTTTATTAATTTTATTTTTTAACTTTATTAGTCTATGGTCCATTATTTTAGTGCTAAAAGAGTTTCCTTTATTTAAGAAACCAGTCAGTATTTATTACTAAAAATGATTATTTATACCTTTTTTTTATATATAGATTTTTATTAAATATTTATATATTTTTTATAATTTTTTTTTTTTAATATGAAATATCTATTGTTTTTATTAAATGGTAAATGTTTTTTATTCATTTTTATTTTTAAATTTATTTTCTTTATTAATTTTTTTTTTATTTTTTGATTTTGCATTCCTTTTTTTTCTTTGTTATTATTTGTAATTTTTTTAATTTTTTTTTTAGTATAATTAGGATTGCATTTTGTGTTTTTGATTGTACAATAATATCACTGATACAAATGATGTTTTTGCTGTTACTGTTAGAGCAACTTATACAACAGTCACAAAAAAAATTACGATGATTTAAAAAAATAAATATAAAAAAAATGCGAGTCATCAAGGTCTAAGAATTTGGAGGGGGGATATTATTTGGTTCAGATATCTAACCAGGTTATTTATACATTTTTAATTTAATATGTAGATTTTTATCAAAAATGTATATATTTTTTTATAATTTTTGTCTAAGAATACGCAGTATTTATTGTTATTATTAAACAATAAATGCTTTTTTTTTAATGTTTAATGTTTTATTTATTTTTATCTTTTAATTTATTTTTGATATTTTTTTTTATTCTGATTTTGTGTTCATTTTTGTTCTTTATTATTATTTTTAACTACATTTGGATTATTTTTTTTTAAATTTCGTAATTGATTTTTTATAATTTCTTTTTTAATTTTTATACCACATTTATAGACATGAAAAATATCTGTTAATCATCTACTAAGCCTCTACTTAGCCATCCCTCAATCGAAATCTATCAGCCCTTGTCCTGCATCCTTTCCCGTTCCTCCAAGAAGCCTCCAGCTCCCGCTCGCTGCGAAAGTGTATTTCGATGCTCCGGGGAGATGGCTTTCGCTTCTCAGTTCTTTCTGCGGACCCCCGCCTCCGAGGGCTCCATCCAGAAAACCCCTTTCCCCCTTCCTTCTGGCGCTCTTTATCCATTTACCCTCCCCATTAACCCCACGACGAGGCGGGGGGCAGTCCTGTTGAGCGCCGGCTCGTGCTCCAAGTGCCAATGCCAGCACACACACTCATGATTGGCGTCAGGTTTTGTTAATTTACGTATTTTTTGGTTTCATCTCGTATTTTTCGCCCCCCCTCACAGCATTTCCACACGCCCCTTTCACGGGAGTGCTCTTTGCAAAGGGTAGTCGGGCACATTCGCTGTACGAATATCTCATAAATGAATGGCCCTGCCCCTGGATAGATGGATCTGCAAGGGTATCTAAAGTTTCGGCTCGTTGCCAATGGCGTTTTCCTTTGCTTTGTTTTTCCAGGG